AACTCATTTTATTATACATCTGTCACCGTAACGCCATAAGTTACAGCGCGCCGTAATTTTGCGCTATTTTACGGGGTATTTTCATACTACTATATTAGGAAATGCGAATTCCAAATATGGAATGATTACGCGCGTAAGCGTCTTCTAATAATAAAAACAAACATGGCTGCCACCAGGATTTGACCGGACTCCCTACAAAGAAGTTCGCTGATTCTGTTATAAACTTTTTGGATTTCGGCATTCCCATGATGTATCCTTGGAAGAAAAAGATGTATAATAATAAGGTTATTACGAAGATACCTCTAAGTATGCACTCAGACAGTACGCTGTCGCACCGACCTCCGCTGCGCGTCGGCCGATACTGCCGCTGTACTGTCTTCGTGCATACTTTGAGGTATCTTAGTAATAACCTTATAATATGAGTTAGCTGGTTCATTTAACATGACTAGTTGTAGTGAAGAGTAATTACACTATTGAGTTAATGCTAAGCACATTTCAAATTCATCCTTGGAGTTAGAAATAAATTATTCTCTCTTATCAGAACTTTGAGTAAAGGCAGCAAATTATACACAAATTTGTGTGAGTATACAAATATTTTGGTTGCCATCGCAAATGTTAAGAAAATATTTGTTTTTTTAAAAGTTTAAATTATTTTTTCCCATTCGATTAACTATACCATCATAAACACAACGTTTTAAAACAGTATAATGAAAATGCTACTCACTGTAGCTGCTGGTCCCTAGCCATACAGCTACAAGTACCGCATTTATTTGATTTACATTCTTTCATACTGCTCACACCAACTACATTTGAAACATTTTCCTCAAGGAATATTTTCGTGGTCCAACTCTATACTGCATAATAATTGTCATGTGTATGGTTTTTCTAAAGTAATACTGAAGTGCACAATCAAAACACAAAAGTGTGTTCCACATAAATTGAATGTAAAAACTGGTTACACATATACATAATTCGAATTTGTGCTTTTCAGTACAGGTCTTGGCAATGAATGCTGAGAGCCTAGCATATGCATGCGAAGACAAAATGCAAACACATATTGTTGAATGTACATTCATGTACAGGTATGGGTTGCATGGCTATTATATCAATGACTGCAATGAATAGATTCAGTGCTTTTAGTGAAAACACCCAACTCAAAAATAGGGGGTTATCTTTCCATAAGACATGGTTAACACAACGTGTAATAAAAAATTGTCATTATATCCGGAGTACTACGTTTCGACGGTGAACAACGTACACATGGTTTTATGGATGTTGGCAGGCACTAGAAATCATTTTACAATATATATGTGGGTACAGGACTGTTTGTTGACTATCATGATCATACAGATGCGTAAACCCTACGGGGGATTACATCTGTGGCTTGTCCGTTTAAATAAAAAGGCCGTTTGAGAACCACGTTGTCACAGTTAAAGAGAAATATCGTACATGCACCGAATGAAAATTGTTCAGACTGTGTTCCATGCAGCAGCTACATTTTATATCATTTACAGACCCGGGATTACACGTACCCGGACACGTACACGTACGGTTATACACTCAGTCACTGTCCCGTCGATCATAACAATCATTCATTGTCGGGTATTCATGTGGTCTGCCGTGCACTATCGACTCGTTCTCCAGTTCACTGTCACTCAGTCGACTTCCAGAAGCATCTATGAACACACGACCATTTGTATAACAACAATGCTGCATAAAATCCATACCTTTACATCTCACCTGTGTTTGCTATCCTACCAAGTAAATCTTAGGCTCGAGATCCTATTGGTTGGACAGGTTCCTTGGGTCAAAGATCAAAAACGCACAAAGTAAAATCAAATCTGAATGCGAGGCTGAGGTCAAACTCGTACGCAAATTACGAAATCAATTTAAAAAGCAAATGGCGAAGTAAATTCAATTCAGAATGGAAATGTGTTTTAATAACCAATTCCAGTGTATAAATTCTAGTATAAAATGTGAATGGAACTCGGAATTAAATTGTGAAATTGTTTTTAAAAAATAAAATTCAGTTTTAAACGAAATTAAAAATCGAAATTAATTCAGAATCAGAACTTTATTCATAAAAGGAATATAACTTAAAATCTAAATGTAATTATAGTTTAAACATGTGATTTAAATTAAATTCTAAATAAAAAAGTAGATATAGAATCATGTTTAAATCTATTTACAATTTCAATTTACATATTAAAAATAAAATGAAAATGGTGATTCAAAGTCAAAAAGTGTAAAGGCAAAGAAAAAAATAAATGAAATACGTTATTGAAAAGACCTAAATGCGTAGTCGGTTGCCGTACAATACAGATTCTAAGGCTGATGAGTAATTCTTTTTTACAACCAAAATTATTGTCCGTGAGCTTCATATACTGGTAATCTAAAAGAATTCGTTTTCAAATTTCTAAATTATCGGGTAATGGATGTAAAACTGTAACTTTTATGTGGTGGACCGAAAATAAACCATTTCATGGGAATAGAGTTAATAATTTTGCCGAAAAGTTCTATAGAGTTTAGGTATAGAACATGGGCATGAACATGTGTAGGAGATTGTCAGGTGTACTGTGACAAAAAGAACATTCGCCTGTATCACTGTTGGCATAACTGCATATTGCATTGAATTACCAGTAGAAACTGCCCCTCTAAGCAGACGCCACTCACTGTGGGTCACCCTCCATTTTCTATACATGGGTGTCATATATATTCTTAAAATTGTGCTTCATTCCATCAGAAACGCTTAAAATATCTCGCCAATCAGTATCTATGTTGTTATTCTGAATATTAAAAGATTCGATTCCAAATTCGTAAATAAACCTTTTCGTGAATTTGTATAGACATAAGGATGCTGAATCGTCAGTGTCACGTTCACGATTAAGATTTAATAAGTATGAATAATACGAAAATTCAGATGGTGGCGGTTCAAAGGTCTCCTCATGAAAATAGTAAAGGAATGGAAACTGAGGCAGGTTTTGTATTATTCATGTGTGAAGTACATCTAGTCTATGTATACGAATCTGAAGCGAATGTAAGGACTGAACTTGCACTGTGCGTTCCCAGTACAAATAGCGTTGAATATATTGCAATCTAAATGAATGTATCATTGCTTCAAGGTGCACGAGCCCTTGACCGCCTGCACTAAATGTTTGGTGAATTACCTCACGTGCGACCCAGTGTTTGCCTTTGTTGAAGAGTTCTTTGGAGGAGGCATGGTGATGAATCTGTGCCACAACTTTGAAGCTCACAATTGGTTGTTAACAAAAACACTTCTTCCAAAATTTACTCGAAGTATCTTCAGTATATACCACGTACTGCCCGGCTTCGTAGCGCTTTTAGCAACCGGGAGTGGGCCGTGCAATAAATGCCCATAAATACGTAAGCCCTGTTGTCTATATCTGTAAAACATATTTCTTTCATACATTTTATACAGCGACGTGACACTGAACTGGTTTCAGCCAGTTGTCGGTACTAACATAAAGGAAGTAATCACATTGGCTAAAACAACACGAGAAGATATGTAGGACTGAAATCTACCACGATAGGATCAGATTGGGATTCTAGTATGAATGTGACTTAATGCTCGCGAATCTTGTTTTCATCAAGTACATTTCAATGGGGTTGAAGTCAGCAAAGAATGGAGGCAGTTTTACTGTATTGGAGCAGTGTGGCTTTAGGAATAAATAAACTCACTTGAGAACGGGTTAAACTATAAGTGGTGAAGTTCCCTTGAAGTAAAATCGCTTTTACCACTCACCGACCGATCTTTTCGTAGACAAAAGTTGTCACACATACAAGACACTGGTGGTACCCGTTTAAGTGTAGCCAGGTCTATGACTGTCACCTTTCAAACAAACCGCAGTATCAAATAAACTTGTACAGTGAAGCAGTAAATTCAAACATATATGTTATGAAGTTTACGCACTTTATTCAAACTACAGAAACTTTACTTTACAGTTACTTTACACAATACGTATTTTGTGTGCAATACTTTAACGTTTTGATAAACTGAATGTTATGATTTAAATATTAATATAATTGACAATCTGACTAAATGAATACGTCGTTTGTAATATGACTCCGCCATATTGATAAATACATTACATAATGTAGTTCATCATCTTAGTGAACGAATTATTGTTCTTTGAAATATACTTATGCTTTATATTTCAATACATATATATACCTAATATTCTTACTGAACTTTCATTACATCTGCTATAAGCTTAAACTACGATTTGTGCTTTTAATATTAGTTCGCTATATTTTTTAAAAATGTAATTTATAGTCATACTATACACTAAATGAATCACTGCCTACCCTATATTATTATACATCTGCCACTGTAACGCCATAAGTTACAGCGTTGCACTAGGTATATTCATCCTGCCATATTAGGAAAAGCGAATGCCAAATATGGAGCAATTACGCGCGTGAGCGTCCTCCAATAATAAAAACAAACATGGTAGCCCCAGGGTTTGACCGGAATCCACACAAAGAAGTTCGCTAAATCTGTTCTAAACATTTTAGATTGTGGCATTCCAATGATGTATCCTTAGAAGGGAAATATGTATAATATGTAAAGGTTATTACGAGGATACCACAACGTATGCACTCAAGACACTTTTTGGCTTATATAAACTAACCGTACTCGACAGATTTGGCACAGGGTAAAGGTACCCACTAAACCGTTTTTTTTAGAGGGTGGATGCATAGTCGAGCACTTTACTCGAAAAATTGGCCAAAAGACAAATATTGTTTTCCCAAGTGTCAGATTAAGCTGGAGTAGTACGTCTTTTTTGGTGGAATTAAAAATTGCACTTGATGTCCACTACACTTTTATAATCAGGAAACAATAAGGACCACAACAAATCTGCACGTGTTCTTATAATAATATTCACATATCATAAAAACGTCAAAGTCGAGCGATTCATCATCTTTGTTGTACACACCCCAATACATAGCAATTTCCTCCATGGTGTTTTCTCGCACGTCATCTATAAAGCTCCATTTGCGATCAGTACTGACTTGTTCTTGCTGCGTTCTCCCTAATTTAGTTGTTTACATTTAACTAACAGACATGTGTATTTATTGTTCAATCAGTTAATATATACTTCACATTGTACTATTTGTCAAAGACCAATTTGTAGTCAATTACTACACTTTAATTGGATTAATGTGTTTTCTACTATATTGTTATACGCATAAATAAATTTAATTAATAATATCATTACACACGAATAAGTTATTGTTTAGGCTCAATACACTAAATCATAAATTAAATATGTATACTATTACACTTAACAAATGAATACAAAACCATCGTCATTTATGGCGGATTTCAAATACGACGTCATAATCAAATGCTTGTCTTGCCTCTCCAGTTTTTCCTACCATGGATGGTGCCTTCGATCCAGGTGGGAGTTTGAACATGAAATTTTGCATCAGTCGTGTTATGATAGTAAATATATTCACCTTGGCAAAGTCTTGACCGGGGCAAGCACGCAAACCTGTAAGTGAGACAAAACTTTAATTACAGTTTGTTTAAACAATGAATCAAAGGTTATAATTATTACATTCTGTTGATTATGTAATAAATATGTACATACAAAAACTAATGTCGGTTTGTACGTTATTTTATATCAGAAATTGTTAGTAAATATTAAATAATGGGATTTGAATAATTATTGACAAATATGCTTATGTTCAAAACACTGACTTCAAGAGTTGGCGTGTTTTTCTTATAAAACAGTCGGCTTATCAGTGTCCTTTGACTACCACTACCTAAATACGTGGTCTACCAAATGCGAAACTGAATGAAGATCCGTGTCATTTTGTTTTACATCTAATCCCACTGAACATATAATATTTTTTAAAATATGATTATGCATAATAAAACCCAAACTATTTATTTACCAATGCTAAATGGAATAACGTGGTTCTTGTTTGTGATGCCATCGACCATGAATCTATCTGGGTTAAACTTGTATGGATTAACCCACTTCTTCTCATTCATATGATTGGCCCATATATTTGCTATCACTGTGCTACCTTTAGGTATGGTGTGACCATTGATATTTATATCTGCATTAACTAGGCGAGGCACTCCAAGTGGAAGAACACTAGCACATCGATGGATTTCTAGAATTGTTGCTTCAACGTATGGAAGGCTTTCCCTATTCTGCAGTGAAACATGTTGCTCAATTCCCACCACTTCCACTATTTCCGAGTAACACTTCTCCTGAATCTCCGGGTTCAACGCGAGATAGAGTATTCCCCACAACAATGTACTGGATGTTGAATTTATCCCTGGCATGAACATACTTTTTGCTGCTTCAACTAAGTTGGTGGTGTTACCTGGGTTAATAAGGAATGAATCGATAATATTTTCTGGTTCTCTGTCCAGCAACTGTTGGCGACGCTCGGTAATAATGGCTTCGATAAGTGATGACACTTCCGCTTCAACTGAGAGAAATAAGCGTTTCTTGGTTGTAGGAATATACCAAAATAATGGTAGAAATGTTAATAAATCAGTATTGGACGCGGCTTTTTTAGACACCTTCGCCAAAAGTGTTTTGAAATCATCATTACTGTATTCAAACCTTTTACTGAACACCAGGGAACAGAAAACGTTACCAATTGCTATATAGATGGCATCTTTTGGATATATTGGTTTTCCTGCAGCATTAGAGATGTACTTCTCTAAAACATCGCATTCTGTCTTCAGAATCTTTTCCATTCCTTTATTTTTCACAACATATTCATTTAATGTCTTGATCATATGTTTACGTGTAACTTTCCAGTCGTTCCATGGAGTGGCCACACCTATAAGACAAAATAAAATAAAGTGAATACAAGTTGACCAGTGTAAATTCTTAACAATGAAAATGACTACTTTTTTTATATTCTTCGTTATATTACGAAAATACATGATCATGACCTTTACCTTTGTACCAATACGTGAACCGGGACTTGCAAAGAGTGACGAAATATTAAGTTCCTAACTGTTCACTGGTAGTGCAATACTAAACACTAACTCGAACAAACATTATGTGACCAATATATATTTTTGAGAGACGCATCAGTGCCATTTTTGTTGATTTCGAAGGCCAAAATTAGTTTTCGCTTTAGACATTTTCACTATATCCTATTTTTATTTTTAAAACACAAACCACTCGCTAACATCACTGTATTTCATTCACATGACGAGGGGAGCAATAGAATATATGTAATACAAGGCATTAGAACAAAGTATTTCAGCGACGTAAATAGCAGCTTGAAAATGCCAGGAAGAGTATTCTTGGACATAATGCTATTTCTATGGAGACATGGGCGTGAGAATATGCGTACAATGACGAACGAAAACTGTACAGATGGTTTTGAGTACCTTTACCAAGCAGTCGGTCAAATGAATAAGAGTAAATTTCGGCTTAGTGATCATAATTTAGAAATTCAAAGCGGCAAACGACAACGAGCAAAACATTCCTGCGGAAGAGCAAGTTTGTAAAAAATGTCATAAAGAACAGCATTTTATGCTAGAACTTCAAATAAACTAAATAAAAATAATTTCATTAAAATACTGACATGCTTTATATCCCAAAGCTGTCACCTGTAATTAACATT